GTTTAAACGCGCGTCGGCTCAGTCATCTTAAGACGCAACAACCAATCAGAGATGCGAGATGCCTACACGTGACGCGGGAAGGGCGCGCGATGCCCGAAATATTTTTGCGTCAATATTCAGCGCCGTGATTCAAGAGATTAATACCCGGAAACTAATTTTTTTCTTGTTTTGAACGCATTAACATGCATTTACGCTAATCTAGTATGATTCAGGGTTACTTTTTTTTAACCTGCCATGGCCAGATTATCTAAAGATGTGTGTATTGTGTGTACAATCTATAGAAAGAGAAATGTACATCAGGTCCGATCATCCGATTTTCACGTTTCGGTTTTTTGGACTCGGTTCATGAACGTATTTTGGTTTGGCTCCTGGAATGTGCAAAAAAATGACTCCCGGGACTGTCTACAGGGAACACTCGCACATTCGCGGTGTATCAGGACAGCGCGACTGGTCGTCATTAGCGCAGTAACAGTTGCATAAACGGACGAAACCATTTCAAAGAAATGGGGATGTTTCGAAAATAAGCATTTACTCCAATATCAAAACAGCTACGGTAAAAATAAAAAGACGTGCATCATCCCGGACATAATGCAACACCACATGCGAAATTACACAGAAATGCGACGTACGGAAGAATGCGTTTTGGCTGCGAACATCTTCCAAAAAACTTGGCATCTCTTAACCATGGGCAAAAACATCTGGAACCACTTATAAAAACCACCCCGTATCTGCATGAACTTTTTTGAACCCCACTGCTATTCCAAACAACGCGTTTTTCTGGACCATTCCAATTCGCCTCGTAATTGTAGGGGTGCGTCTGCGATATTACATTGACCGCGAAAGCAGCAACGGCAAAAATACACATTCGTGCATCAACACGGGCATGCCCGCAGACGGCGTATAAAATTGCGTGCCGATTACACAAAGAGAACCCAGTGTTTTGACTGCGAACATGAAAAATCAGCCGATTACAACACTCCGTCCGGAGGTCCTGACCTCCTTCACGGAGTAAAAACACTTAAGCGGCTGTCTCTCATGGATATTAAAATATTACAAATCTTATACAAGAAACATTTAGGAAGGGAAATTTCTGTTACATTTCCTTCTCTACAAAAAGAAATGATGAGTACATCCGGCGACTTTAGATTACCATATATGGGAGTTTGCTTTGGGAATTCTAAAACCGGGCAATATTGAGTGTTGGTTGTCTTGAGAACATTGTCTTCAGGAGTCTTTCCGTGACAGGTGAGTGCTTTTTTTCTTTCTCCGCAGATATGTAGTTTTCGATCTGTTTAAGATTAACGCGTTAGAACTCTATAGTCTGCAAACAGAGGTTAAGATTTCGGCTTAGGTTTGGCGTGTTTTTATTGGGATTTTTTTGGACTAATATCTTCTTTTACGCCAGCCAAAACAGGTGGAAAATGAACACTATTTTACCAATTTCACACTGATTTGTACCCGCCCAGCATTTAGTTGCAGATTAAGAACTATAAGTAAATATGCAACACTGGCAAACCCTCAATGAAGTATAGAAGTAAATTCTCGAACCTCCGAATTGCAAAGAGAGGATAACTCTCGTATTGTATATTGTGAGAAGGGATCATGCGGCGAAAGATGTTATCTTAAAGATTAAAAATACCAGGATTCAGAAGCCTACGGAAAGAGTACAGATTTTAAAAAAAGACAGATAATGTGCCAGGGAAGTTGGTCCGCTAAAGAAGTACAGTTTGCGCCAAGTCTGTACTCATTTAGCGTTTCTTCTACCCTGAAACGTTTCTTGTCTATTTTACCGATTTCTACTCTTTAAAGCCCTCCTAAAGCCTTGTAGAGGCTAGAAACTAGGTAGTTGTGCAATATTATGCATACATTAGACAATCTCGCTGTCAGAATCCCTGATTGGCTCCCTTAGACACCCAAAAGTTTCCTAAATGTCGAAGAAAAACCAATACTATAGTACACGTATTTCGTTTGTACATGTAAGTGTAACCGTGTTTTGTAAATTTCCTAGAAAATCTATGGGTCTATCCGACAACGCCCCTTAATTTGCTCGGTTTGATCCAGAAGCAGCTCTTTTACCAGTTTGCCAACTTTTCGTAACACATCACGGCGCCTTCGTATAATGCGACGGGCAAAAACGTTTGATATCTTAAGTGTCAATTGGAAGCATTGTCAACTTAAACCTTAAAAAACATTTTAGTGGCTGTCTCTCATAAATATAAGAATAATACAAACTTTTTAAACAAAAGTTAAGAAGGGAAATTCTTGTCTCATTTCATTTTCTTCGAAAAGAAATGATAAGTACATCCGGGGACTTTAGATTACCATATATGGGAGTTTGGGAATTCTAAAACGAGGCCATATTGAGTCTTGGTTGTCTTGAGAACATTGTCTTCAGGAGTCTTTCCGTGAAAGGTGGGTGTTTTTTTTTTCTTTCTCCGCAGATATGTTGTTGTCGACCTGTTTAAGATTCACGCGTTAGAACTCTATAGTCTAAAACAGAGGTTTAGGTTTCGGCTTATGTTTGACGTGTTTTTATCGGGATTTTTCTTGTACTGGTATCTTCTTTTACGCCAGCCAAAACAGGTGGAAAATGAACACTATCTTGCCAATATCACACTGATTTGTACCCGCCCAACATCTGGTTGCAGATTAAGAACTATAAGTAAATAAGCAACACTGGCAAACCCTCAATGAAGTATAGAAGTTAATTCTCGAACCTCTGGATTGCAAAGAGAGGATAACTTTCGTATAGTCAAATCTCTCCAACTAGCAGGCCCCTAGCTTTCTTGTGGTAGACTCTTGTTCCGGCGCTGTCAGGCGGTAGAGGTCAGGGGTCACCTTGGTGACGATCGAAGAAACCGGTTTGGCAACATTGCCAGGTCCTAGGATAATCGAGCTATATGACGAGTGGAGGACAGACAAGTAATTGTCATGATAAGCGAGTTACCATACAAATTTGTTGCAATATTGTTAAATTATCGACAGCTATTTCGTCAATTAAGCGAATATTACATTGTTAGAGGGGATAACGTGGCGAAAGATGCTATCTAAAAGTTTAAAAAATTAAAGTAAGCTTCCTCCTCTGAAATCGGTGCAGTCGTAGCTTCTACCAGACTTCAGAAGCGGCCGAAAAGACTAGAAATTTGCAAAAAAAGACAGATAACATGCCAGGGGAGTTGTTCCGCTAAAGGAGTACAGTTTCCCCGGTACTCATTTAGCGGTTTAACTACCCTGGCATGTTCCTGTCTATTTTGAAAATTTCTACTTTTCCAAGCCCTCCTAAAGCCTGGTAGAGGCTACAAACTAGGTAGTTGTGCAATATCCTGCGTATATTAGCCAATCTCGCTGTCAGGGTCCCTGATTGGGTCCCTTGAGAAGCCAAGCTTGTATCCATCGCACAATTGTTGGCCTAGGGTCATGTCGCTACAGTATGGTACAAAATAAGCGCAAAACTTGTACCTGTAAAATGTGGCTTGTCAGACACTCAAAGTTTCCAAACTGCTGAAGAAAAACCAATACTATAGTACATGTTTTTCGTTTATAAGTTTAACTGTGCTTTGTGAACTTTCATAACAATCTTGATCTATTGGTGTATCTGACAACGCCCCTTTATTTCCCGGTTTGACCCAGAACTAGACAAGTTCTTTTACCAGTTTGCCAACTCTCCGTAATGCATCGCTGCGCATTCGTATAATGCTATGGGGCAAAACATTACCTTAAGTGCCAATTGGAAACATTATCAACTCAAACGTAAGAAAAACAAGAAGCCATAGGTGACAATTCTCCGTGAAGTATTATATATTGCAACAAAAAGAAGTAGCCATTGGCGACAATTCTCTGTGAAGTGTGATAAATCGAACAAAGAAAAATTGTTTAAACGCGCGTCGGCTCAGTCATCTTAAGACGCAACAACCAATCAGAGATGCGAGATGCCTACACGTGACGCGGGAAGGGCGCGCGATGCCCGAAATATTTTTGCGTCAATATTCAGCGCCGTGATTCAAGAGATTAATACCCGGAAACAAATTTTTCTTGTTTTGAACGCATTAACATGCATTTACGCTAATCTAGTATGATTCAGGGTTACTTTTTTTTTAACCTGCCATGGCCAGATTATCTAAAGATGTGTGTATTGTGTGTA